GTCTGTAACTCTTTTATAAGTAAACGAAGGGGTGATCGTCTCCGATTTCATGAAATACTCTAACATGACGTAAGTCAAGAAAATGAAGCATTTCATGTGAGCTTCCAAGCTACAGATGACGACAGCTTTCTTCATGGGCAATGCCCGGGGGACATAAAAAGGGCGATCATGGGGCTATGCCATTATATCATTGTTTGGCAGCAGTATGATTTCACCGCGCCTGTGCCAACGCGTTTATAAGTGGACAGTGCCTGTTACTATTACCACTAAACTATTTCATTGAAAATTACCATCCGTGGTTCACACAGGTGTGAAGCAATTAGGGGTGGAGCATATTTCCGAGACTCTTTGAAAGACGCGTAGCAAGAGCATGATGTGCCGCAGCAATCATAGCAGGACTCAATCCACCGAACGTGGCAAGGCTGACTGTGTCTGGCTGTGTGTCTTACGCCAACCAGCTAGAAAATACTCTGCGTCAGAAGTTAAGCACTACACCTATAGCAGCTGTTCTCGCACCGCGTGACCACGGCCTGCATCATGTTTCTGATGGTATTTGGCCCAAGAAACATTACTTACCCAACACATGCGGCCAGTGGTGACTATTTGCGCAAAGAAATCGAACCTGGTGTCACACTTGCAAACTCAGTGAGCTGCCTATTGAATGGCGCCCACCAATATGCAGTTCCCTCATCAACCGTAGAATATACACCGCATATGACTGATATTGCTTTTTGCCTGCTCCTATACGAGCAAAGACCTGCGGATTCGTAAGCACATATGAAAAAGCTTCAAAAACACACAAGGGGTATATTATTTATTTCCATGAAGTGAAAGGTATGTACCAGTAGGCTTGGAAGAATGTTAATACAAATATATACATTATGTGTGAATCGTGAGCCAGTCGTATGCGTATTCGTACACTATTAGCATGATGGCACCACCTGAACAAGATCATTATGATCACAAGGGAACGAAAGACTATGGTGAAAACAATCATAATATCGAATAAAAACAAAAAAAAGAAAAAATCATTAAATA